AAAAATTCAGTAACTACATTGTATTTGCTTTTATTTTTCAGTCTACATGCTCCTCTTACTAGCAAAAGTTCAAATTTGAATTTGTTTATTCACAATGTATTTTGCTGAATTATGACAAAAGCTCAACAATAACTCATTTATATTTCTATGCCACTGCATTTAGCAAAAAAAAACACGAAAAACAAAAAATCAATTTCATCACAAATTTTAAACTAAAAACTCCCTCAATTTTCAAGCAATTTAATACAAACTTCACTCAGTTGTAGCCAACAATAAGTTGATTTTTTAACAGTCATTTAACTTGATAATTGAGTCCACTCATATAGTGAAAACCCATATAAATAACAAAAAATGGTGGTTTTTACTGGTTTCTTTCTTATTTTTCGTTGATCTTTCAACCAATTTTTATCCAACTTAACAATTGCTTTACAAATGTACCCTCTTTTACATCCCTGGTAGCACAATGACAAACTGAATTTCAAAAACTCCAAAATAATTGTAGTCTGAAGTTAGTCTTCATGTTGCCTGTTTTACCTCTTTATGTCCTCGGCTAACTTTGATTGAATAAATACAGATTACTTCTGTTATATCAGTAACTGCATTAATTCAAAATGTTTTTAATGAAAGTACTTTAAAGTAATTGAACAAGATAGACTCTGTTACATCTAAACATGATGCTGTTTTTGCTCGATTTTAATTGAACACTTTTTCTGATCGACCAGCTGGGTATGGCTGCTAGTAATTATTTAATATCAGTAAATCGACAATTTCAATAAAGACAAAAGGTTGTTGAATCCTTTTAGAATGTAATTAATATTTATATTATTTTAGTTGGAGATGAATTTTTATATTATATATTTTAAATAATAGAAGGTTTTGAATTTAACGATTTTCTTTTAATTTTAAAATTAAAAAAAAATTCAATAATATTTGCTTACTTTTGTTTATTAGATATTAAATTACATCACTTAGCATCTTCCATAATTTACCTTGATTTTCTGTTTAGCCTGATGTATATTTATGAGCATTCCTGTCCACCAGAAATAACATTTGAGTGATAAAATATATTTATGTATAAAAACTTTTCTTAGTTGACACATTTCGTCCTCTAATGAACTTTATCAAGGCAAACAAGGAATTTATTTTATAACAAATATTTATAAACTGAAGTAAAGGTGTCTTTAAATTTTCAGAATTTTTAAACTTAAGAATGCTCATAAATATGCTTCAAGGCAAATTATGGTAGATGCTAAGTGATATAATTTAATGTCTAATAAACGAAAGTGAGTAAATATTATCAATGTTGTTGAATTGTTTTTTATAATATATATATATATATTGTTGCGGGGCCGAGTAGGATGTCGCCCCCGCAAGGTTTTTTTAGTATACGATAAATGTGAACAGCCAAGACAATGACGGGACAAAGGCAAAGGTTTTTGTTATGAACAAAGGTGTCGTTTTTATTCACACATTTACATCGGTGTGGTCCGAAAACTGGTTAATCGACGAACGTAGCTGGTTCGGTCGATTGTAGCTGGTCTGGTCCGGTAGTTGGTCTGGCCCGGTAGTTTAGGTTTGGTAGGCGAACGTAGTTGGTTCGGTAGAATGTAGCTGGTCCGGTCGAATGTAGTTGGTCTGGCCTGGTAGTTTAGGATTGGTAGGTGAGCGTAGCTGGTCTGGTCGAAAGTAGCTGGTCTGGCCCGGTAGTTTAGGATTGGTCGGCGAACGTAGTTGGTTCGGCCGAAATGCGAAGACGGAGTCCCTAAACAGGGCCAAGGCAGACTAGTGATGCTACTTCACAGGGCGGATCGACCGCGGGAACGGGATCGCGCCAAAGTGTATCACCAGGCGAAGATGGAGTCCCTAAACAGGGCCAAGGCAGACCAGTGATGCTACTTCACTGGGCGGATCGACCGCGGGAACGGGATCGCGCCAAAGTGTATCACCAGGCGAAGACGGAGTCCCTAAACAGGGCCAAGGCAGACCAGTGATGCTACTTCACGGGGCGGATCGACCGCGGGAACGGGATCGCGCCAAAGTGTATCACCAGGCGAAGACGGAGTCCCTAAACAGGGCCAAGGCAGACCAGTGATACAACTCCACAGGGCGGATCAACCGCGGAAACGGGATCGCGCCAGAGTGTATCACCAGGCGAGGTAGGTCAGAGAGGTGTTACACCTTCCAGGGCGGATCGACCGTGGAGACGGGATCGCGCCGAAGAGTAACACTCTCGACAAAAGCACCGGAAGTTCACAAAGGTAGTTTACTACACTTTGATCCAGGCCTCCGCCGAGCTGCCTAGTTTGGGGGAAAAAAAGTGTCTAAGGATATTTGCAAAGATTTGTTCAAGTACTCCCTGGCTAGAGGAGTAGAAGGCCGTAGATAATAAATTATAGTCTATGGTTGCCGATGTTTAGAATGGCTCAGCATAGTCAGATGCGTACTAGGTATGGTTTGACATCAACGATATTGGACTAGCCGTCCGGTTTCTGGCCTGTTGCTTGACCTAGATCTGCGAGATCGAGAGTTGTGAAGGTCAAGGTCGGCTTTGTAAGGAGCGGATAATCGGCGACCGCGACAAGGCCCTTCCCCTAGAAAATTGTCAGGAATAGTCGTGTCTCTGGATCGTCGTTGATATGCGAAAGCCTGGTATAATTCGCCAATGCAGCCTTCGCTGTATGGAATGCGTGCAGAGCATCTCCCTCCAAAGAGATGTCCTTGTTTCTTCTCTGCAGCAGGTTCGTCAGTGGCTGGAGGATGGTAGCGCAATTTGGCATGAACCGACGATAAAAATTGAGCATGCCGAGGAAACGTCGCAATTGCTTCATGGACGTCGGTGTAGGAAAGTCCCGGATCGAGCTGATCTTGTCTGGCAGAGGTGCTATGCCGTCTGCGTCGGTGCGGTGCCCGAGAAAGTCAACGCTGGGCGCCCCGAAAACGCACTTGTCCAGGTTCAACTTCAGGCCGTAGTGCGAGAGTCGCTGGAAGACTTCTCGCAGGTGTTGTCTGTGAGAATCGGCGTCTGTACTGGCCACCAAGATGTCGTCGATATAGGCGTATACATGCAGAAGTCCGCGCAGGACTTCGTCTATGAGCCGTTGAAGGTCGGCCAACGCCCGTTCCGTTTTACTAGGCTCGTAGCGTTCGTGCTTCGCTATGTCGGGGGCGCGAACAGCGTTAACGCTGTGGTCGAACTGTGCAAAAACAAGATCAGCAGATTCTGCCAAATCATCCAGAGGCGTGGCTCTCGTCATTGGTGCGATGATTTGTGCAACAGATTTAGGCAAATGCTCCAGCCATAAACCTCGAAGAACCTTTTCTGATACGTTGTGCTTTCCCAGCTGGTTCCTCATATATCTGAGAAGCTGGGATGGCGTTTGTCGCCTCTAGTGACGTTCCGCAGCATCTCTTGGATCATATCTTCCTCGGAACGTCCGGTTCGCTTGAGGATTGCTTCCTTTGGCGATCGTACGGTTCATGCTCGCGCAAATCGGAGAGGACATCAGAAATTTCGTCCATCATATCAGATGGGAGTTTCTGCATTACATTCGCGAATCTGGCTCGCTGTGAAGTAATGCGTAGCATTGAAAAGATGGATTCCACCTGCAAGAACCAGTTCTTGGCATTATGGTGGTATGCAGGCAGAGGTATGATCGCAGCCGTCATGTCCAAAGAATCACTTTTAGCCGACTCCATCATCGCTTAGCTGTCTCACGTCGGGAAGTCACCACTTGTTGCGGGGCCGAGTAGGATGTCGCCCCCGCAAGGTTTTTAAGTATACGGTAAATGTGAACAGCCAAGACAATGACGGGACAAAGGCAAAGGTTTTTGTTATGAACAAAGGTGTCGTTTTTATTCACACATTTACATCGGTGTGGTCCGAAAACTGGTTAATCGACGAACGTAGCTGGTTCGGTCGATTGTAGCTGGTCTGGTCCGGTAGTTGGTCTGGCCCGGTAGTTTAGGTTTGGTAGGCGAACGTAGTTGGTTCGGTAGAATGTAGCTGGTCCGGTCGAATGTAGTTGGTCTGGCCTGGTAGTTTAGGATTGGTAGGTGAGCGTAGCTGGTCTGGTCGAAAGTAGCTGGTCTGGCCCGGTAGTTTAGGATTGGTCGGCGAACGTAGTTGGTTCGGCCGAAATGCGAAGACGGAGTCCCTAAACAGGGCCAAGGCAGACTAGTGATGCTACTTCACAGGGCGGATCGACCGCGGGAACGGGATCGCGCCAAAGTGTATCACCAGGCGAAGATGGAGTCCCAAACAGGGCCAAGGCAGACCAGTGATGCTACTTCACTGGGCGGATCGACCGCGGAACGGGATCGCGCCAAAGTGTATCACCAGGCGAAGACGGAGTCCCTAAACAGGGCCAAGGCAGACTAGTGATGCTACTTCACAGGGCGGATCGACCGCGGGAACGGGATCGCGCCAAAGTGTATCACCAGGCGAAGACGGAGTCCCTAAACAGGGCCAAGGCAGACCAGTGATACAACTCCACAGGGCGGATCAACCGCGAAACGGGATCGCGCCAGAGTGTATCACCAGGCGAGGTAGGTCAGAGAGGTGTTACACCTTCCAGGGCGGATCGACCGTGGAGACGGGATCGCGCCGAAGAGTAACACTCTCGACAAAAGCACCGGAAGTTCACAAAGGTAGTTTACTACACTTTGATCCAGGCCTCCGGGCCGAGCTGCCTAGTTTGGGGGAAAAAAAAAGTGTCTAAGGATATTTGCAAAGATTTGTTCAAGTACTCCCGGCTAGAGGAGTAGAAGGCCGTAGATAATAAATTATAGTCTATGGTTGCCGATGTTTAGAATGGCTCAGCATAGTCAGATGCGTACTAGGTATGGTTTGACATCAACGATATTGGACTAGCCGTCCGGTTTCTGGCCTGTTGCTTGACCTAGATCTGCGAGATCGAGAGTTGTGAAGGTCAAGGTCGGCTTTGTAAGGAGCGGATAATCGGCGACCGCGACAAGGCCCTTCCCCTAGAAAATTGATCGTATCAATTAATAATAATAATATTTACGAAGGTCTTTAGGGAAAGTGACCCTCCTACCGGATCGGGTCTGCCGCACAGGAGTCGCTGGGGTGTCGTTTGATGTCTGCGGTGCTGCGTCTGATGGGTGCGCTGGAATAGCATTAGGGGCCGCAGAGCCGGGTTTGCGTCATACTGTCGCTTCTCCAGAAAAGCAGGCTTGGTCCGATCGATTGCGATGGTGTCGGTCGAGTTGGCGCGCTTGATCGTAAGGTGCTTGTCGGTGCGTCGAAGAACCTGAAAAGGACCTTGGTATGCCGGCGTGAGTGGTCGTCTCACGGCGTCGTTCCGTACGAAAACGAATTTGGTAATCTCGCAAGTGTTGAGGGATGTACGAATTCACCGGTTGCTGTCGTGGAGTTGCATATTTAAGCCGGGCCATTTTGTGGCGGAGTTCCTCGACGAAAGGAGATGTTGGTTTTGAAAACGTCTGAAGGGAGTCGTCGAAGTATTCGCCGGGTAGCGCAAGAGGTGTACCGAAAACCAGTTCGGCGGGTGAACAACCTAAATCCTCCTTTTTACGGTGTTCCTCAATGCTGGGAGAATTAAAGGTAGGTCGTCCACCCAATTGATAGTGTCAGGTCTAGTGGCCAGGGAGGTTTTAAGGGACCGATGAAACCTCTCAACTAAGCCGTTGGCGCACGGATGATAAGCGGTAGTCTTTATGTGCTTGGCGCCAAGTAGGTTGGTAAACTCCCGAAAAGGGACGACTGAACTGTGACCCCTGTCGGTCGTGATAACGTGGGGCGTGCCGAAAGTTCCAATCCACTTTTCAGGATGGTCCTAGAGACTGTGTTAGCAGAAGTGTCTTTTATAGGTATGGCGGTCGGCCACCGCGAAAAACGATCCACAACCGTCAAAAGATACTGGTAATCCTGACACATCGGAAGCGGTCCCACTAAGTCGACATGTATGTGTGAGAACCGTGCATCGGGACTGCTGAAGGTGCCGACGGGGATTTAGTGTGTCGGTGGACCTTACACTTCTGGCACTCCATGCACGTGGAAACCCATTCTCGAATGTCCGCATTCATATTGGGCCAAACGAATCGGTCGGTAATAAGTTTGACCGTAGCTCGCTTACTTGGATGAGACAGCCCGTGGAAATGTTGGAATACCTGTCTCCGAAGTGTCGGTGGGATGTAGGGCCTAGGGCTTGCTAGGCTGGTGTCACAGTACAGGGTGTCGTCGCTGAAGGATGCAGGGAACTCCCCGAAGCTTTAAAGAAGTATTCGAAAGGACGTCTTGCAGCGTGGGGTCGGATTTTTGTTCAGCGGCTATGGAATCTTGACCCAAGACGCCGGTCTGAAGAGATTGAATTTCCGCTCGCGATAATGTGTCTGCGACGGCGTTGTCCTTCCCCTTTATGTGACGAATATCGGTCGAGAACTGTGACAGGTAGTCGAGATGCCGGATCTCGCGAGCTGTATACTTGTCAGAGTTGTTACTCATCGCGGTTGTCAACGGTTTATGGTCGGTATAGATGGTAAAATCTCGACCTTCCAGTAAGTGCCTGAAATGCCTGACGGCCAGATAAATGGCCAGCAGCTCTCGGGAGAAGGTGCTATATTTTCTCTGGGCTGGCGAAAGCTTGGCTGAAAAGAATGCGATGGGTTCGCGTTGTGAGTTGAACTCTTGCTCAACCACCGCGCCCACACCAGCGTCGGATGCGTCGGTTGTCAGGAATAGTCGTGTCTCTGGATCGTCGTTGATATGCGAAAGCCTGGTATAATTCGCCAATGCAGCCTTCGCTGTATGGAATGCGTGCAGAGCATCTCCCCCTCCAAAGAGATGTCCTTGTTTCTTCTCTGCAGCAGGTTCGTCAGTGGCTGGAGGATGGTAGCGCAATTTGGCATGAACCGACGATAAAAAATGAGCATGCCGAGGAAACGTCGCAATTGCTTCATGGACGTCGGTGTAGGAAAGTCCCGGATCGAGCTGATCTTGTCTGGCAGAGGTGCTATGCCGTCTGCGTCGGTGCGGTGCCCGAGAAAGTCAACGCTGGGCGCCCCGAAAACGCACTTGTCCAGGTTCAACTTCAGGCCGTAGTGCGAGAGTCGCTGGAAGACTTCTCGCAGGTGTTGTCTGTGAGAATCGGCGTCTGTACTGGCCACCAAGATGTCGTCGATATAGGCGTATACATGCAGAAGTCCGCGCAGGACTTCGTCTATGAGCCGTTGAAGGTCGGCCAACGCCCGTTCCGTTTTACTAGGCTCGTAGCGTTCGTGCTTCGCTATGTCGGGGCGCGAACAGCGTTAACGCTGTGGTCGAACTGTGCAAAAACAAGATCAGCAGATTCTGCCAAATCATCCAGAGGCGTGGCTCTCGTCATTGGTGCGATGATTTGTGCAACAGATTTAGGCAAATGCTCCAGCCATAAACCTCGAAGAACCTTTTTCTGATACGTTGTGCTTTCCCAGCTGGTTCCTCATATATCTGAGAAGCTGGGATGGCGTTTTGTCGCCTCTAGTGACGTTCCGCAGTATCTCTTGGATCATATCTTCCTCGGAACGTCCGGTTCGCTTGAGGATTGCTTCCTTTAAGTGATCGTACGGTTCATGCTCGCGCAAATCGGAGAGGACATCAGAAATTTCGTCCATCATATCAGATGGGAGTTTCTGCATTACATTCGCGAATCTGGCTCGCTGTGAAGTAATGCGTAGCATTGAAAAGATGGATTCCACCTGCAAGAACCAGTTCTTGGCATTATGGTGGTATGCAGGCAGAGGTATGATCGCAGCCGTCATGTCCAAAGAATCACTTTTTAGCCGACTCCATCATCGCTTAGCTGTCTCACGTCGGGAAGTCACCACTTGTTGCGGGGCCGAGTAGGATGTCGCCCCGCAAGGTTTTTAAGTATACGGTAAATGTGAACAGCCAAGACAATGACGGGACAAAGGCAAAGGTTTTTTGTTATGAACAAAGGTGTCGTTTTTATTCAAACATTTACATCGGTGGTCCGAAAACTGGTTAATCGACGAACGTAGCTGGTTCGGTCGATTGTAGCTGGTCTGGTCCGGTAGTTGGTCTGGCCCGGTAGTTTAGGTTTGGTAGGCAAACGTAGTTGGTTCGGTAGAATGTAGCTGGTCCGGTCGAATGTAGTTGGTCTGGCCTGGTAGTTTAGGATTGGTAGGTGAGCGTAGCTGGTCTGGTCGAAAGTAGCTGGTCTGGCCCGGTAGTTTAGGATTGGTCGGCGAACGTAGTTGGTTCGGCCGAAATGCGAAGACGGAGTCCCTAAACAGGGCCAAGGCAGACTAGTGATGCTACTTCACAGGGCGGATCGACCGCGGGAACGGGATCGCGCCAAAGTGTATCACCAGGCGAAGATGGAGTCCCTAAACAGGGCCAAGGCAGACCAGTGATGCTACTTCACTGGGCGGATCGACCGCAGGAACGGGATCGCGCCAAAGTGTATCACCAGGCGAAGACGGAGTCCCTAAACAGGGCCAAGGCAGACCAGTGATGCTACTTCACGGGGCGGATCGACTGCGGAACGGGATCGCGCCAAAGTGTATCACCAGGCGAAGACGGAGTCCCTAAACAGGGCCAAAGGCAGACCAGTGATACAACTCCACAGGGCGGATCAACCGCGGAAACGGGATCGCGCCAGAGTGTATCACCAGGCGAGGTAGGTCAGAGAGGTGTTACACCTTCCAGGGCGGATCGACCGTGGAGACGGGATCGCGCCGAAGAGTAACACTCTCGACAAAAGCACCGGAAGTTCACAAAGGTAGTTTACTACACTTTGATCCAGGCCTCCGGGCCGAGCTGCCTAGTTTGGGGAAAAAAGTGTCTAAGGATATTTGCAAAGATTTGTTCAAGTACTCCCTGGCTAGAGGAGTAGAAGGCCGTAGATAATAAATTATAGTCTATGGTTGCCGATGTTTAGAATGGCTCAGCATAGTCAGATGCGTACTAGGTATGGTTTGACATCAACGATATTGGACTAGCCGTCCGGTTTCTGGCCTGTTGCTTGACCTAGATCTGCGAGATCGAGAGTTGTGAAGGTCAAGGTCGGCTTTGTAAGGAGCGGATAATCGGCGACCGCGACAATATATATATATATATATATATATATATATGAGATATTAATATCATAAGGGACATTAAGAAAATGAACAAGTCCTGCATTGATTAGTAACAATCAGTAAAATCAGTTGATCAAACAATCCATCAAAAGAATTAAATGAACAAATGATCCCCTTAAGAATTGAAAAGAGTTAGAAGAATCTGGAACCCAGACAGAAGACAAGAATATGAACCTGAACTGCAATGTTGGGATTTTTCCTGCTTACATGTCTGTTTGTTCTTGGCAGTGTGAATGGAATGAAGAAAAAAACCCAAAGCTTGTAAATAACTGTTCAACAGCTTTTATTTCTGGTTGAAAATAAAGTGCAAAATAGTAGTATTTTCATAAAAAAAAATAGGGATTCCTAGTTAAATAAGTTCTTGAGTATATTAGTTGTTTTTGTTTTGGAGACATTTCTCTGCTAGAAACGAGAAATCCGAGTGTGAAACTGCTAGAACAAGCCTTGTCTTTTGCAGACTAGCTTGTATGTAGTTTTCCTTTGGTGGGTGTTTCAAAGGGAGCTTTCTCCACTGGTTCCTGCAGGAGAAAACTTGTGTGAAAACGGTTGTGTAGCTCTTCAGGCTGGGCCTGAAGGTTGCAACCACTGAAAGTGCGAAATGGAAAATAGGGCACAGTCAAGGCTTTTATAACCTCAAGGACTTCCAGTTATATATCATTTCCATTGCAGCAAAGTCGAATCAAGCAAAGTAAGGAAGCCCCTACATGGCACAATAGCCAACAAGTGTAATTTATAGTTTTGTCATTGTTTTTTTTTTTTTAATAATTTGAATGGAGTATTGTTGTTTTTAATATTTTTATGCTCTTGGTATAAAAATTATGACAAAACATGAATTACAGAAATTACTTACAGAATAATCTCTGAAGAGAAAATTGCAATCTTTATGCATGGATTGTGATCCATATGTAATTTTTTATCAATCAGCCACTTATAGTTTAAGCTTATGTTCTTGTTCTTTTATCTCTTGTTATTCTCTTCATATTTGATTTGTGTTGGTTATTGATATAGTCGTGCAGTTTTATACTGCACTCAAAGATCTTAATGCCTTAGCAATTCAGGAAACAGGTTATATTGAGATTATAACTTTCTTTTTATAACCTATTCATAGCTTGATGGTTAGAGTAGTGTCTTGTAAAACAAAGAGTTTGAATTTATTTTTTAGTCAGTCAGTGAAGTGCAATACATGATACATGCTTTGGCAAGCGTGTCTCTTTCAATTCATGACTGACTCCCACAATAGGTTGCCATTTTTATCTGTGGTAGACTGGATATCAACCAAGGATATTGAACCCATAGGAGGAGAAAAGATGAGTTTGTACCTTTCCCAGGGTTATTTGCATGTAAGTGACTGTAACAAACCTGATTGAGTTTCTGTCTATATTTCTGAGATGAGGTATTATGTACATTATTTACATTATTAGAACTAGTGTCCTCATCTTTGTCCCCATAATTATCACAACATTTCAGCTGTTGTACGCTCTGGCCTTCTTCAGTATCTGTCTATATTTCTGAGATGAGGTATTATGTACATTATTTACATTATTCAAACTATTGTCCTCATCTTTGTCGTCATATTTATTACAACATTTGTATGCTCCAGCTTTCTTCAGTATCTGTCTATATTTCTGAGATGAGATATTATGTACATTATTTACATTATTTGGACTATTGTCCTCATCTTTGTCGTCATATTTATTATAATGTTTCGGCCGTTGTACGCTCTGGCCTTCTTCAGTATCTCTCTAATTTTCTGAGATGAGATATTATGTACATTATTTACATTATTCGGAATATTGTCCTCATCTTTGTCACTATATTTATCACAACGTTTCGGCCGTTGTATGCTCCAGCCTTCTACAGGTGGTTGGAATGTCGAACTGAACCCTTTATTTCGCTCACTGTGGTAGACTAGTTTCACGTGCCATGTTTAATGGATATCAGTTATCAGTTATCTCCTGTTAATTTGCCTCTCCAAGTTCTCCACCGCCTTAACCGAGTATTGAACTCACACTCTTTGGGTCCTGTCACTGGATCTAACTAACGCCTTTATCCACTATGCCATGTGTCCTTGAGGATAACTGATAACTGACATCCATTAAACATGGCACATGGAACTAGAACAGTCTACCCCAGTGAGCGAAATAAAGGGTTCAGTTCAACATTCCAACCACCTGAAGAAGGCTGGAGCGTACAGCGGCCGAAACATAATAAATATGGTGACAAAGAGGAGGACAATAGTCTGACTGATTTTATGCATTATATTTTTTCTTGAGAATGATAACAAAAATGTTAAACACTATGCATTAAAATTTATTTACAAAAATAGTGTCTAATACTTTTGTTGAAATGGTGTCGAAGTCTACAAGAGAGACTACAGAGTTAATAAACTTTGGAGGACATTTTTTTATATATTCATACCATTTGACTACTTCTAAAATATGTCATATTCAGAGCAATGACTAATAAAAATAAATATTTTCAAGCTTTAGAGTGATAAAATGATGAGGCAATAGTTTCAATGCAAATGGCAGTTCCAATTTTAAGGAGATTTTCTTCTGTGGTCCAATGCACTAACGAGAGGTGAATTTCAGATCATTTTAATGCTATTTTGAAGAGTGACAGGTATTATGTAAGAGGTGAATTTCAGAAATTTATAAACATTTTTAAGACAGGCAGTTATAACTGTCCTAAATTATTGCAATTTTAGCACATCATTCAGTCAGTTATGTGCCATGCATCATACACACTTAGGCGATCATGTATCTTTCAATACATGACTGACAAGGCAGTTTTTTTTTCCTGCATTAGGTTGCTATTTCTTTCTGCGGTAGACCAGTTGCAACCCAAGGCTATAGAACCCTGTCTGTCCTGCTATTTACCCATAGCTGGGGAGCGAAGAGGAGGATTTATACCTTTCCCAAGGGTATCAGCATGTAAGTGAATGTAATGGATTCAACTAGAATTTGAACTTGGCTCTCTGATTCCTCAATCCGAGCCGCTATCCATTACTCCACCATGCCTCCCAAGCACATTATTACTATACATCTAATGAACTGACCAGTCAACTTTTGTTATTTCAGTTTGAAGTAGATGGCTATAACAGCTCTTTGAACACACCCTACTAGACACTGCTTGTCACATCTGACTAGTTTGCAGAATGCCCTCAGAAGATGAAGAAAATTTAGAAGCTCACTATGCAATAAAGTTTTGCGTTGACAGAGATAGACATCGAAACTGACCCTCACCCTCCTTACAGTCCTTCCTACAGTCCTTGCCCCCTGTGACTTTTGGTTGTTTCCCAAACTGAAGGAGAACCTGGGGAGGGGCAGTCATTTTGAAGACACTGAGAAGATGTAGGAGGCTGTGACAAAGATCTTGTACATCTTCACTTTGGATAACTTCCATGGGACTTTCACAAAATGGCTGGAGTGTTACAAGTGAAATGAAGTCAGAGGATCCCACTTTGAAAGAGATTAGAGTTTTTATCCTTCTTTGAAATTAATAAATGTCTCTCTTAAAAAAAAATTTCCAAACTTCTAGAATGCACTTTGTACAGAAGAAAGCATCTGGTATTTTTT